TAGCTACTCTGTTCCATAGTGTTTGTTGCCTTACCTAAGCCTTCTTCCTCCTGATTTCACATAAAAATATCAGCTCTTGCTTCTTTTGAAATGATGGAAGGGGAGAGGAAAGAAAGAAGTTAGGTTGGGAACGTGCGGCATGTCCCAGTGGGGAGTCTGCTGGGGACCAGAGCTTTAGACGCTTCATCTCTGGCCCTTTGGCCCCACGCTGCTGGCTTCCATCAGGGGACGATCGTGCTGACTGGTTTTCCATTCACAGTCGTGGTAAACTTGTCTGTATGCTCCTTAAAATCCCAGAGTCCCCACCCCACAGCATCTGTTTCAGAGAAGGCTGTTGCCAGCCTAGAAAGTGTGTAAATTCTAGAAGGCTACTCCTTCTGTGTGGACACACTCCACTAGCAGATGGCTTCATGGAAAGCTGTTGTTTTTGTGCAAAGAAAAGGCCTCCCTTCCTGCAGGGCTGGAATTCAGCCCTACTGGCTTCCTTGACTGGGTGGGCATCTTTACACAGTGCATAAACGCATGTCCATGCACAGTGGCTGCCTTCAAGTCCTTCCTTGCCCTCATCAACACGCGTGAAGCATGTAGGAGTAAAGCCCCAAACCATCTGAAGGCAAAGGGGGATGTTGAGTGGGGCTGTTCAAGACGTGTCCTTGACTACACGTCTTTCCAAAGAGAGAGAGATCACATTCAGTCTGGAAGTCATTCTTGACACCAAGAATTCCAGTTCCTAGCCCAGCACGCCAGAGAGTCAGCCGAGCAGAGGCAAGCAGATGCTGATGATGGAACAGGAGAAAGGAGTCGTTTGTGGGTTATAAATAACCGCCAGTAGGCATTTTGCAGAACACATTGGAGAAGGCAGGCTCCCTAGACATCGATTGATATAACCTTTGTTATTTAAAAAGCTGAACTTCGAAAAATGAATAGCAAGGCTTCGATTACAATTATAAATGAGGGGGAAAAAATCTGAACTTTGAGAGATGACAGATACAGAGATTGAGAATTCTCTGCAATGAGTGACAAGAGCCTTGATAGGAGAAATGATCACCTGAACCCGGACTAATATGAGCCAAGAATTAGGTGGAACAGAAGAAGCAAATCAGCTTCCAGGACCTGGAAACCATAAAATCCGTGGACTCCTCCTTTCCTGGCTTTGGATTGAGTGGGAGGTCAACATGGGCGCCCAGCTACCATCTCCCCTGTTAACAGTACAGTAAATTGTAGATTGCTCTCATTACCTAATGGGAGACTCCGCCTTCTCAATTAACCTTGGTCTTATCTTTATTGAAATCTAAATTAAAGAACACTTCTAAGTACTTGCACGAATGGAATCTGACCGGGAGAAGAGCCTTACTTAACCACTGCTGACGGATCCCGGGGTCCCGTTCTTAGCTTCCACTAAGCTGTCTTGGTGGATCCACCGCATGGCATCAGTAATCCAGCACATTCCTGGGTGTGCCCTGTGGCCAGCCTCGGGTGTGGAGCCAGCTGCAGGGACGCGTCTGTCTGTGACTTGTCACAACCCTCTAGTGTCTGTAGGGGTTAGGCAAGTACTAATGAAATGTAATTGGAAACCATTTGTTTCTTAAAAGGAGAAGGCAGAACCAACTTCCAGCAACTTCTTTTCCCACTGATAAAACTGGTCTTTGGTGGTCTTCCCACCTTCGTTCCAGTGCCTTCCTGCCAACCCCCCCCAGTCTGTGAATAATGCCCCCCTTCACTCCCATCCCACAGACCAGCCTTGACAGCTTAAACCCCTGGCTTTTGCCTGTTTATCTTCAGAGGGTTTTATGCCTTCAAATTGTTCTTTCTTTAATTAAAAAAAATTTTTTAATGTATATTTGGTTTTGAGAGAGAGAAAGGGAGAGACAAAGCGCAAGCCGGTGTGGGGGGGTGGCAGAAGGGGAGGGAGACACAGAACCTGAAGTAGGTTCCAGGCTCTGAGCTGTCAGCACAGAGCCCTACATGGGGCTCGAACTCAAGAACCACGAGATCACGACCTGAGCCGAAGTCGGACGCTTAACCGACCGAGCCATCCAGGTGCCCCTCAAATTGTTCTTTATCTCCATTTCATTTTCCTATGTTAAGTGTGGGGAAAGCAATCTGATTAAATTCCAAAACCCTCACCACGGCGATTGGTGAGATTTTATTTCAATTAGCCATAAGCACTCTTGTGACTGGCAGCATGAAAACATTTCGATACTTTGTACAATGATGGGTATGGAATGGCTGCATTATTTTTGTTATTTTATGTATTATTGCAAATAATTCTTTTCTTAGACTATAGCTTCTCGGAGGCTTGCTTCTCACTGTCCCTTCCTCGCTTCCTCTCCTCTCTTGTCCCTGCTTCGGAGTGTTTTTTTTTGGAATAAATTACTCTGTATGGTTTTTTCTTTTGACATTTATTCTATCAGAATACTCACTTTTGAATAATCACTATCACTTTTGACTTTCAGAGGTTCCTAGAATTACTGCTGCCTCCTACTTTTTGTTTTTGTTTGTTTGTTTGTTTCAAAGGATGGAATAGCTCAGCCCTAGTTTTCTGGTTGTACCTTTTTTTTCCTTTTAATATTAAAAAAATTGTGTAGAAAACACACACCATAAAATTTATCATTGTAATTATCTTTAAAAAATACAGCTCAGTCGTATCAACTATATTCATAAAGTTGTGCGACTGATTCCCCAGAGCTTTTTACTGTGACAATGAACATCCACATCCATCCAACAGCGACTCCCCTCCCCCTCCCTCTAGCCTGTGGCAACCACACTCTACTCCTTTAAATACCTCATAGAAGTGGAACCCTATAGGGGCACCTGGGTGGCTTAGTCAAGCGTCTGACTTCAGCTCAGGCCGTGATCTCATGGCTTGTGAGTTCGAGCCTTGCATTGGGTTCTGTACTGCCTGCTTTGGATTCTGTGTCTCCCTCTGTCTCTCTACCCCACCCCTGCTCATGCTCTGTCTCCCTCTGTCTCGAAAATAAACATTAAAAAAAAAAAAAGAAGTAGAATCCTACGGTATCTGTCTTTCCGTGACTGTTTCTATTTCACATAGTACAATGTCTGCAAGATTCATCCATGTTGTAGCCTGTGTCAGAATTTCCTTCCTTTCTAAGGCTGAACGATACTGCATTGTACACACACACCATACTTTCATCCGTTGATGGACATTGGAGTTGCCTCTCCCTCTTAGCCATCATGAATGATGCCGCAGTGAACATGGATGGGCATCTGGCTCGCTCTTCTACTAGAAGGACATTAAAATTATTTTCCAGAAAGCAAAAAGAGCTGAAAGCATAAAGCTCCACTTTGCCACAGTGGAGGAAAACCTGCTGCCTACTCTGTCACTCCCGCTGGAAGCTGCTTGCTAGTGTGAAACTTATTTTGCATAAAATTATCTATTAACTCAAAGCTTTCAACTCTATTTAAAGACCCACTTTAAAGTTTGACTTTTTTTTAGTCCTTCAGAAGTTTTCATTATCTTAAAGTACTCCGAAATGTCTCCATTCATCGGGGATCTCTTGAATCCTTTATTCTTGAACCAGGGTATCCTTTGATTCATGCTAATATGCAGGTGACTGTTGAACTGTCCCCACCCTGCCTTCGCTTGTAAAACCACTACATCTTTGCTTGGTGGGTTTGAAAGTAGGCATTGAAAGGGGATCTGTGGGCAGAAGTCCTTCTTTAAGGCAGTAACTCCCAGCCCCTTTTCCAGGAGGGCAGGCAAGTGAGAAAATGGCCATGCCGATCCCAGGTGACAGCAAATGCCTGCTTGCTTCCACTGCTCTCTCCCACTCAAGAGCGCATAGAATACAAGTGAATACAATGGGTGTTGTTATAGGGATAACCTTGAATTTTCTCCGCTCTGTTTTTTCAAAAAGGTAATCTTTTGCAAACCCCGGTATTTTAACGATTACTAACACAAATCACTCACAAACCGCCTTACAAATGATTCACTCCACCAGTACGAACACACTGTGGTCGAGAACTTTTGCCTTAAATGGTGATACTGCTGTTCCTTGTGTTGTGCGCTCAGCCCTGGAAGCGGTAATGTTTGCAGTTGCCCAGTTCCTACTTTCCAACTGGGGAAAGGCAGAGGAAGAGTGATGGAGAAGAGCAGCAAGTTCCTTGAGAGATCAGGGGTCTCGAACTTACTGGCAGGCTCCCTGCAAGGTCAGTTATTTGGGGAGCCCCGAATGACAAGCCCCAAGTATCCGGAGCAAGAATAATGGAGCTCCTGGAGATTCTAGAACAGTTGAGATAGTAGAGTTTAGGGGTTAAACGTGCACTTTGGAGGCAGACAAATGTGGCTTCAAGTCCAAGCTCTGCTACTTCCGAAGTTTGTGAACTTAGGTGAGTCATTTAACTGGTCTGATCCTCAATTTTCTCACCTGTAAAATGATGAGAAAACAGTCTCCTTGAGGAAATCTGAGGTTTTCATCCGTGTAGAATGCCTTCTTTAGTCCCTTCGTTCCTCTGGGCAGCCCATTCTGTGAGGTTTGAGCAGGGCTCACCTCTATTGCACCCTCCCAACTGGATGTATCCACTCAAAGAATGTCACCCCCCCGGGACAGAGTCTGATTCAGGGAGGGGCATATGACTCACACAGGAACCTCTCAGCCACCTCAGGTGCTGCCTTTTCCTCAACCTGGAGAAGTGTGTCAGCAAGGTTGCTTCCAAGACCGAGAAAGCAAACAAACAAAAGCAAAAACAGACGGGAGACCAGACCCATCAACTCAGAGCACAGGCCCCCGTCCCCATCTTTATCCTACATTAGAACATGGCGGCACTGCTGTGAGGAGGCCATGGAACATGGCGGCACTGCTGTGAGGAGGCCATGGTGGCCTATGGGACGTGTAAGAACAGGAGTTTGGAGACCCTGAAGCAAGGTGACCAGGCTGTCCCCGCCCCCTCCCCCCTCCGCTCTCTCCCTGCACTGCCTCTAACCCCTGAACTTCTTCGCAGCCCAGATTAACAGCCTATGAAAGGAATCTCGTTTGCAGGATGAAGCCATTTCCACAGGCACAGCTGGTGCTGTGCTTGGCCCCTCCTAACATTGCTCCGGGAGGAGAGCGATTTCGGCGGTAGTACCAGGAACAGGCTGTCGAATAGTAACGGCACATTAATTTCGAGCCTGTGCAGAGGTGCAAGTGGCAATTCCGCGCTTAGACATTTTATTTGTGTAGCGTGGAGGCTGTGACAGCTTCCTGGCTCCGTCAGTCTTCACTCACCTTTGGTTTGTGGAGCAGCGTCGGGCTGTCTTCGACAGCTGGGTGCCCATGACCCGATCTATAAGCCCCAGGATTCTGCAGTGGGGGGGGGGGGAGGATGAAGGCCTCAAAATCATCAAATCATAGACGGATGACAGGCCTAATCTAGTACCATAGTATCTGTCTAATACCAGAGCCTTATTTTATGGTGTCATTGGACACAAAGCACAAAGACATGAAGGAACTCAGGAAAGGGCACAGCTTTTGTGCCAGAGCAAAGAGCAAGCAAACCCCAGGGCTTCTGACTCCCACCTAAGTGCTTCCCCTGCATGGGATCTCTTCCCAGGGACTGTGTGGTCTGGAATCTCTTCCCAGGGCCTGTGTGGCCTGGAATCCTCTTACCTGAATTCTGCAGGAGGGTTGGTCCCCGTGAGTCGAATCTTCCTTAGGCCTGACCGCGCTGAGCCTCCAAAGATCCAGTTCTGGTGAATCAGTTGCTCTGAAGCTTCTTGGTGCAGCCCTGCCCACACACGGGGCCTTGCTCACCGGGTGGCAGGCCCACCTCTGCCGCCTGACCGTCCTCCCCGCCATCTGCCTCTCCAGCCTCTTCCTTCTTCTCTTCAAGAAAGCCATAGCTCCACTCCTGAGGTGCTGGGCTGGGGCCCTGCCTCAGAACCCCCCACTCCTAGAGCTGGAGAGAGCCCCAGTGCCCTGGGAGGAAACTAAGGCTAGAATCGCCAGCCTAAGGGCCACACAGCTAGGGAGCAGCTGGCTGAAGTTAGAACCCAGGACTCTGGACAGGGTCTTAGTACCTTCCCTCCTGAGCCCAACACTTGAGAGAGAAGGGCCAGTGTGGTCCAGGCGGCGGTCCTCAGACTGGGGCTGGTGAACAAACTGGCCTCAGAATCACCTGGGAAATCTGCCTACAGCACAGGTTTCTGGGCGCCACACAGAACGGGGAGATGAGCAGATCAGAGTCCATGGGCTGGGGGCCAGGAATCTGCTTCTGACACTGCGCTTCCTTTGAGAACCACTGAGGCATAAGTTGCGAAGGGTGTGAAGGGTGTTGCAAGTAATTTGCTACTAATAATACTTGAAGCTCTGAATAGAACAGATACAATAGCGCTGCTCTCACGCACTTGCATAATGATTAGCTTCCTTGACCAGCCAACCCTCAGGGAAGAGGCAGGCCCTAGACTCTGCATTTTTCAGCACCCCAGGGACCAGCACCTCCCCTAAATGGGCATCCGAGGGAAAGGGACGAGCACCCAGCTCTGGAGCCAGGCAGAATGGGGTTTGATTCCAGACTGCCCGGCTCACTCGCTATTCATCAACCCCCTTGACTTTGCTGGATTTCAGGTTTCTTCATGTGTAAATTGGGAATAATAGTTCCTACCCCCGAGGGTTGCTGTGAAGATTAAATTAAAACTTCCCAAAGCCAGTGAGTTGGAGCAAAATGAATGTGCAGGGGTCCACAGCTCCCCCAGCCTACATCAGAGGAGTGCACACCTGGGTGTGGCCCTCTGGCTTGGTCCCCTTTCCCATTCTCAGGACAAAGGACCCTCAGGGTTGGGATTCCAAAAGAACTGCATACCTGGGCTAGTTAAGCGTCCGACTGTGGCTCAGGTCATGATCAGGTTCAGGTTTGTGGGTTCAAGCCCCGCATCGGGCTCTGTGCTGACAGCTCAGAGACTGGAGCCTGCTTCAGAGTCTGTGTCTTCTTCTTTCTCTGCCCCTCCCCCACTCACGCTCTGTCTTCTCTGCCTCTCTCTCTCAAAAATAAACATTAAAAATTAAAAAAAAAAAACCTGCATTCCGAAGGGGCGATGCTTAACACAGTGCCTACCCCTGAGAAAGGGCTCACCAAATGGAAGTGACAGTGTTAGTCCATGTCACTGTCATCTTTACTGCCTCCCACCTCCCCTCTTTGGCCTTTGGGGACTGTGGCCAGAGCTGGGATCTCCCCCTGTGTCTTCCCCTCTTCCATCACAGAATCCTGTGCCCCAGCCCTGAATCCGCATGATGGAGAACAGAAAGGCACGGGGGGGGGGGGGGGGAACGGCTCCACCAGGAGGCTAGCTTCAGAATAAATAAAGGACACACCCCTGGCTCTTGAGAAGCTTCCAGCAAAGGCGAGAAGGAATGCTAAACCCAGGGGATGTTTTGTATTTTTGGTTGTATGCAATTGCGCCCCACTCTGGTACACCGCCCGCCCCCTTCTAGGCCGGATGGGAAGGACCCAGCATAGAGCAGCATGTTTGGGGGTCCCAGTGGGCTGTCTTATTCCCACACGACCCTCTCATCTTACTCTAGGCTCTGGCTACCGCCAGATCTGAGCACTTAGTGGGCTGCTTGGTTGCAGTTTCAATGTATCAACAGCCAACCACGCACCGATCATGACCTGGCAAGGAACTAATTTTCTCATTCACTGCACACCGGTCTCTTTAAGGCAGCTCGGGAGGACAAGCTTGGGGCTGGGAGCCCTGTCTCAGCTTGTCACCATGTCATAAATAACGGGTGGGGCCCAGTGGGGACCAGGAGCCCGGTTAAGCCACTGCTTGAGTTCACGGCTGCACCACAAACAAATTCGAAATAAGCCTCAAAATGGAAACAATAAGCCTTCTCAATGCCAGATCGATCCCCCTCAGAGCCTGGTCTGGTGAGCGCCAGCTTTGGATTCTGGCTGGAGACCCCAGAGGGAAGGCTGTTAGAGCTTTCGCCACTTCTGCTCCCCCTACTTTGACAGACGGTGCCTCTGACTCCCAGGGTCGGCGAACTTCTCCCCACTCGTCCGCCAAAGGGGCTCATTAGTGCTGGCCAGGCTCAATCAAAGGTGGCGGAAGGTACAATTTGTAGGAATCTGGTTACCTTTCATTATCCATGTCCCCGGGGGTGGGGGCCTTGGGGCACGGATCATTTTTTTTTAACTGCACTTTACCCAGAAAGGACCACAGGATGGCAGACAGTCTGAGATGATTAAAGATAAGATTGGTGGTGGGAGGTGGTGGGAGTTGGGATAGGGTTAAAGAAGGGGTGGATTTCTCATTGGTCTTAGCTTGTTTATTTTTAAAACTCCCTTGGATGTAGACAGGCTCACAGGCAGAGGCAACACAGATAGGCACTTGGTATCCGCAGGTAACTGGACTTGGCATTAAAATCTTGCAACTGCCCCGTGCGTGCGCAGGAGACAGGCCTGTCCTACTTGGGGGCATTTAGAAGGCTTTATACCCAGCTCTGATTGGGCTTAACCTTCTCTGGTGACATTTCCCTTTGCAGGGATGACTGTGGCTGAGCCAGCCTAGCCTTCCCTCCATGACTGACGGAAGAGTAGGGGCCACGATCCAGAGGAGCCAAAGCCCCTGCCCCATCATCCCCCCCCCCCCGCCCTTCCCTCTAACAAACTACCACACGGGCCCCTGGAGAACCCTGGCTTTTTGTCCTCCTCATCAGCTTCTATTCAATGACATTTCCCTTTGCAGGGATGACTGTGGCTGAGCCAGCCTAGCCTTCCCTCCATGACTGACGGAAGAGTAGGGGCCACGATCCAGAGGAGCCAAAGCCCCTGCCCCATCACCCCCCCCCCCCCGCCCTTCCCTCTAACAAACTACCACACGGGCCCCTGGAGAACCCTGGCTTTTTGTCCTCCTCATCAGCTTCTATTCAATGACAACTGCACGACTCTAGGAAGCCTTCCCGACTGTCCCTTCAGCTTCTGAGCAGGTATCTCTCCTCTGTGTGTCCATGGCACTCTGGGCTCACTTTTAATAGTTTTATTTAACAAACACTTACGCAGTGCTTGCTAGCACTTTAAGAATACTTACTCATTGGGGCGCCCAGGTGGCTCAGTCGGTTAAGTGTCCGACTTCGGCTCAGGTCATGATCTCAGAGTTGGTGGGTTCTAGCCCCATGTTGGGCTCTGTGCTGACAGCTAGCTCAGACCTGGAGCCGGTTTCAGATTCTTTGTCTCCCTCTCTCTCTGACCCTCCCGTGCTCATGCTGTCTCTATCTCTCTCTCAAAAATAAGTAAAACATTAAAAAAATTTTTAAAGAATACTTACTCATTGAATCCTCATAATAACCAATAAGGTAGTTACTGTTATTGTGCCTATTTTATAGATGAGAAAACAAAGGCATGGAGAGACTGGGCAACTTACTCAAGGTCACACGGCATGGGAGTGGCAGGGCCAGAATTCAGATGCAGCGTGGTTGCAGATTCTGGGCTCCTAACTGATGTAAGATGTTGGGGTCCAGGAACAAATGGTCAAGAAAGAATTCTTGGGACATCTTCAGTGCAAAAAAAGGGTGGTTTTATTAAAACACGGGGACAGGACCAGAGGGCAGAAAGAGCAGCACTGGCATTGTGAGGAGTGACTAATTCTGTACTTTCAAGAGGGCAGGGGGTCAGGGATAGTGAAAGTCTCTAAGGAATTTGGGGGCAAGGTTTCCAGGACCTTAAGGGGCTAAGTGTTGTTAGGATCAAGTCATTTATTACTGCCTAGTAAACCCCTATCCATGAGAGCCATCAGATGTATGTCGGGGCCATATGCCTGGAGGATGATTCCTGGTGGAGGGTCGGGGGGAGGTAGAGATAAAGGAACTTTCCAAAGAGATTTTTATATGTCAGCGAAGACTTACAGGATCCTCAAGGTCAGGCTAACGTTAAATAAAGTTCCTTATTAACATCAAGGCAGTTGAATTCCTGGAGGAAGGTCACTCTGCCTATCTTAAGCACTTGTCCATGGGCTGCAAAGGAAATATAACTTTTTCTGTATTTTATTTTGTTCCTTTGTTCCCCATGTCACTCAGCACTTTGCTAAACTGCATTTGTACATCTGCAAATGCCTTGTTGAATGATATTTATATGTCTGCCCCTCACCAGCCTGTGAGTTCCGAGGGGCTGGAATTCACTGCTGGGCACAGCTGATATTCTTGACGTTTCTGCCTCAAGTCAAGGAGGAACACCCAGCAGCCAGGAATTTTCTCCTGGTGCCAAGAAAGGAGCTGTTATGAGTTGAATTGTGTTTCCCCTCTTCCCACCAATTCTTATGTTGAGATCCGAGCCCCCAGTACCTCGGAATATGACCTTCTTTGAAAATAAGGTCTTTGTTAAAATGAAGTTCTTAGGGTAAGCCTTAATCCAATATGCCCTTATAAAGAGGGGAACACTGGAAACACTGATGGGGGAAGACACTGGGGAGAGACAGGGAGGAGACAGCTGTCTGAAAGCCAAGGAGAGGCCCTGGGACAGATCCTCTCCTCACAGCCCATAGAAGGAATCAACAGTTCCTTGACTTTGGACACCTCCAAGTCTCTTGGACAGACATCTTGATTTTGGACTTCAGCCTCCAGAACTGTAAGACAATACATTTCTGCGTTTCAAGCTGCCCAGTCTGTGATTCTCTCTGAGGGTGGCCCTGGCAATCTAATATAGGCACTGAAATGAGGGTGAAGGACAGCAGCCCTCAGTTGAGCAGGGTTACCGGTGCTAAGGATTATCCGCCCACCTTATGCTGCCT